CCAGAGAGTGTAAAACCATGGTTCCTCACATAACATTGTTCTAACACACTACTGACCTGTGCCTTCTTGTGGATAGACTCCTGTCTTCTGATGTCATTCTTTAGTAACAGGCAAAAGATTTATACTATCTGAAGAGAAACCAGACTATCTGATATCATTCTTAATGTGACAGGAACACCAAATAGAGCCCAACTGCATTCTGTCTCTTTCTACTAAAGTTGCAAAAGCCCAAGATAAAATTAGGTTTCCCCAAAACCATGTCACGCTGAGCACTTGTGGATCCTAATGCCAATTAAAATCACAAGTATTTTTCAAACAAATGTTTCCAGCTTCTGAAACCAAAATTAGTGCAGAGAACTTTGGTACCCAAACTAGTACCTCCCACTTATTATTCTTATTGTTTCCTCTTACTAATTCAGATTGTCGTGATCTCCTAGCATGTTGGGACTATTTGCCAAAACATTTTCAATATTTATATTCAGATCATTGGGAAATTAAAGTTTTAGCAGTTCTGCCATTGTTGACTTTTCATTCTAATCTCTTTTATGTTAATAATCAGTAATTATCAACATTGTTTACATTCTTTGTGCCCATTAGGATAGATATGAAGAAAAGTATATAGTTAAACATTTGCCCCTAAAATGCTTGTACTTTTGTTCAGGGGACAGTTCTTACTAAAGACATACACACATACACACATAAACATACACACATACACACACACACACGCTCAGTGGGGCGGGAGGAGAGGTGAGGAGAGGAGACAGAGAGAGCAGGAAGAGAATGAAAGAGAGAAATGTACATTATGGTATAGCTCATTTGAAAATAATGTGAAGTATTGATTTACAGACCAGGAAAGCAAAGCTCATTTTTCTATAGACAAGTTTCAATCAAATATTTGCTTGAAGGATAAAAGGCCTAATTAATACTGGAGAATACAGATCAAGACAATGTGAAAGAGTCAGAATAGGATATGCAAGTAGCAAGAATGATAGGCATCAAGGACCAAGTAGTCTTGAGCTAGGGAGGAAAGAAAAACCACTACTGTCCTGGCTTTCAATCTTAGCTTAATTTAAACAAAAAGTCCTTATTGCCATCTTCCTCACCCTAAATAAGAAGAGTGAAATGCATGCCCATCATGTAAAATGCGTTCATCATAGCATGAACGTACTTCAGGAGAATACACATTTCTCGGAAGAACTGACATCAAAGTAGCTCCTTGGTTTTTTCCACCCTCAATCCCTACTCAAACGTAGGTGCGTATTTTGTTTTTTTTAAATATATATTTGATTGCTGAAACTCACATACAATATATTTGATTATAAGAGGTTAGATAAAAATGAATCAGTTCAACAAGATTTGTTGCAAAAAAGTACAGATTTTTAATTATAGTATACCTTATTTTACTAAGAAGTGAAAAGAAAAATGCAATGGGACCTTCCAACTCCACCTAAAAATCTTCCCGTTATTTTCTCTTTTCATCAGTGATCCTGTCAGGGAGCAGGGGTTGATTCTTGTTTGCCCCTAAAACAGGATTTTTCCAAAAAGAAATTGCACTCAGAGAAAGACTGACATGATCAGAGACTGCCCCCTGCCTTCCTACACAGCACATAGAGTTCTATTGCTTTGTTTTTCATTAAAAATAATCCTACCAACTTTAAAAAGAGTTTGTGAATAACAAGCCATCTCTAACTACATATTTTTCCCATTTAGTGACCCTGCTTGTGGTACAGTAAGAAAGAAACTTGTGTTAAATACTAGAAACGTTTTATCTCTATGTATTCCCCAAATTGGGTATTTTATAGAGCTGATGCTGAGGGTTTTTTCAGTTAAGCAAAAAGAAGAAAGGCTGAAACTATCATTTGATATAATCATAACATTATATAAAAAAGAAATCTCTGGCTATTAATATTTATATTTATACCTTGCATTTAAGTCCTGAGATGAACAAGGAAAAAGTGAAATCTCCTGGCAGAATTATTCTTGCTTCGTTGATCTGTGAAAGTATCTGCTTTGGAGTGTGGGAGAATCTGGTTACTCAGTCTTATCATCTTTTAGGGTGTGCTAAAGCAGGGCTGTCTAGTCAAAAGAGAAAATAAGGAAGAGCAGTAGTAGCTATCACTGATAAGAAAGTTTCCAAAGTCTCAAAAGATGAAGAACTTTTTCTTACTTAGTAGCAATCTTAAATTTCTTCCTGAGTTTTTAAACCAGTCATTTTGGAAAGGGCTGTATCTCGGGTGAGAAGAAAGACCCCCGGTGCAGAAGTGGTAAAAGGACAGCCTATGTAACCTTAGAAACTGGGGCAAATACAGGGTCGGGGAAATCACTGAGAATTTGAATCAAACCTGTAAGGAATTTACTGTAAATGACTTTTTCTCAGGGACAACTTCCCGAGGAAGGAAAAGGATCGCGGCGAAAGCCCTAAGCTGATTCCCCAGGACTCCTTAGGGAAGAGTTCCAACAAAGCCTTTCCGGGGACCACAGAGCACACCGGCACATATTTGTTTTCAGTTTGCGTTTCCAATTTTAAAGTGTCCCCGAAATTTCTCCTCACATTATACTGTCCCTAGCTGGTGTTCCCCACACCTCCAAAACCGGCCGATTCCCCAGATCTCTGCCAAGCTGTAGCGTAGAGAACCTGGCCAAGAGAGATGCGCCGCAAACGCAGGAAAGCTGAGCCTCCACTTCCAGTGGACAGGGCTCCCCGAGCCCCGCGGGACCCGGCGCCCCAAGCCTGGCTGCACCCGCCCGGCCTCACTCTCAGCGGCTCCCGGCCGCTCGGGGAGCTCCGCTCGAAGGCAAACCTGCCCGCTAGGTGCAGACCCAAACTCCGAAGCTCGGAAGCGCTTCGGCACCCGGCCCTGCTGGCTAACTTTCTGCCGCACCGGGAAGCTTCCCATCCACGATCTCTATCTGCACTTTGCCTTTCCCGGAGAAAGGGAGGGAACTGTCTATATAGAGAGAAATGTAATAATATCATCATCATCTTTATTCTCGTCCTCACAAAACTGTTATTTTTGTGGTCAATTTCTCTAAGCCCAGGAACTGGCAAGAGACAACAGGTTTCAGTGGATGCTATCTCTCGCTCTGAGCTCGTTTATCTATTTTCCTTTAGAAAACGTATCTCAGGAGTTTATATTTACATTTTCCCAAGTGACATAAATATCTCAGCCTCCGACAAAATAAATATAAGTCGCGCCAGAAAAGGCAAGGTGAAGTACTCCGTGTTTGGGGGGATACAGAAAGAGGACATTCGGGGAGTTTTAAAGATGAGTGCTTAATTATTTAAAGAGAAGACATACATTTTCTCTTCGATATTTATAAGTTACTGTTAGCTAACAAAGCCTTTCTGAAGATGGGAACGTCATAGTCGGTGGACTTGGCGATGCGGTCGCCGCCACCTGTGCCGCATCAGACAGTAGCATTCAACAGATGCTTCAAGAAAACTGCGATGGGCTTTTGCTTTGGAAACAGAACTTGGGTGTGGACGATATGTTCACTGCCAAATTAAATTTCAGAGCCCTCTAAGGCATGTCAATTCATCAGGGAAGGAGAGAATCGGGATTCCCAAATGCCCCTATTGGAAGGGACCAAAAGTTCTTCGTTTTACAAATTTGGAAACGGAGGCACAGAGTAAAAAATGACTAGCCCTATAGTACCCGGAATAAGGAAGGGACCCAACTCATCCCACTTTCTCCTTCCTTCTCCCACTTTGTCCTCCAGCCCTGACTTCGGGGCTACTAAGGCAAACAGTCCTGGGCGACAGCTACACGCTCCTTTCCCTTTTGCATTCTTCTGGGTCTGATCCTCCAAGCCGCTGAAAGTCCTCCCAATAAGCCTCCTCTGTACATCCGTTGCTCTGCTATCCGATCCCAAGTAGCTGACCCGAAGTCCAAATCTCTTGCTTTAGTCCAGCTATCTCCAAGTACTGGGGAGCCAGTCTCCTCTGCTCCCACCGCCCACCCCCGTCATCGGTGCAGTGCTGCGGAGCCTCCATTGAGACCCGAGACCCCTACTCTCACTCTTTCTCTTAGGGAAAATCTGCTAAACCCTTCTCGGTGGGAACATCTCCACTCCCAAGCTTGGTCTCCGTGCCTCCCAGATGCCTTGGCCAAGGCAGGCTAGATCAACATTCCCCGCACTGTAGCGGGAACGCGGCAGACATCTACCTGGAGACACCTGAAACTGTTGTCGAAGAGCTCTGCCTGCTGAGTTCACCTGAGCACCCGGACAGTGGCCAAAAGGAACGTTTTGTGGCTTATCCCTCGCCTTGCTCCGCCGTCCATCTTGACAGCCCTCGCAGAATCTAGGCAATTAACTGGTGGGCCGAGGGCTGCGGGGAGGACAGATTTAGCTCCCTCAAAGAACCGAATTACCTGCCCTCAAGGAGTCTTAAGTATTTAGCAAAGGCCTGCAGGGTGAAGAAGGGAGCTAAGCTATCCCTTCTAGGGCTTTCCTTTCTCCCTCGTCTGCATTTGAGGCTGGGGGCAAACGTGGGAAAGCGGCCTTCTAAGAGGCCACACAAGGTTGACCCCGTGAGTGCTCCTGTTACAGAAAGGGACAAGAGTTCGAGTGGAGACCACCGAAGAGAGTTTCAAAGCTCAGTGAAACTTGTCATATTTGGAAGATGTGTTTCTTGAAATGCACAGGCGTGTGTGTGTGCGTGTGTCTGTGTGTGCGTGCGTGTGTGTGTAAGGAGGGGGATTCTTTGAATCTTTGAGGGTACATTACTGATAAAGCCTTACCCCACTCCTGACCCTGTGCCTCGGCTGGGCAACCCCCAGCTCCTTCCAGTCTCCAGGTTTTAAGAATCAAGTTAATCACTAGCCCCACTCACTCCATAGGATCTCGCGCCCCCTGCCAGCAGTTTCTAACTGCACCCAGACGCTGGTCCAAGCAGGCCCGGGGCAGTTTAACACCGAGCGCTGATTGGTTGCTCTTGGCCCCTCCCCTCATCCAGCGTTTGGCCTTAAGGCGCTGTACAGCTTCACCAACGCAGGGCAGGCGCTCTGGTGCTCGCGGAGGACGCATCCTTCCTCGAGCGCACAGATATTTCTGCCGTTGGAGCGGCTGGACTGCTAACCTTGGCTGCTCCATCGGCCTGCCTGCCCCTTACCTGCCGATTGCCTATGAACTTTTCTTCTGTCTGCACATCGTCGTCAGAGTCGTCGAGATCGTCGTGGCGCTCGCGTGATGGCCTTGTCCGTTTAGAATAGTGTAGTTAGTTAGGGACCATCAAAGAAGAAAGAAGACGCGATTGGCGCGGAGATGCCGGAGATTGTCAGTTACTAAACGAGGGTAGGATATTGGAGAGAAACGTGCCAAACCTAGCCGGGGGACGCACGGTCGCCCACCAGGAGGTCGACTTGCCGGCGCTTCCCCTCGCGCCGAGCTCCCTCCGTCCGTCTTTCCCTCCGCCGAGGCGCGAGGTTGCGGCGCGCAGCGCAGCGCAGCGCACTGACTGCCGCGGGCTCCGCTGGGCGATTGCAGCCGAGTCCGTTTCTCGTCTAGCTGCCGCCGCGGCGACCGCTGCCGAGTCTTCCTCCCGGACGCTAGTGGTAAGTTGGAGCCCCGGGCGGCATTGCTAGCCAAGACCCTAATGATTTAGGCGGGGGATGGGGTGGGAAGCGGGGACAGGTCCCGGATGGTTGCAGCCCGCAGGACCGCACTGGCGGGGCGGGGGATGGGAAGGGACTCTGAACGCTCAGCCCGTGAGAAGCCTGGGGTCTCCGGAAAGAGAGAGGAGCTTAGCTTTCACGGGAGGAGCAGAGAGTCTCAAGGAGACTGGGGGCTCAGGACTGGAGATGAAGGCGCTGGGCGGAGGCTGGGATCTGGAGAACCGTGCGCTGGGGAAACCGGGAGGGAGGGGGAAGGCGGAGGTGGGGTCTCAGGAAGTGTGGGGAGGAGGGAGGGAGAGGAGAGAGACTACGTAGGTGCGCTGGGTGAGGGTCGGGCTGAGGAAGATGCCACTGAGTTGTGGGTACTCACTACTGCTTCTAAGTGACCGCACTAGGGCCAAGTGGGAGGGGGCTCAGGGTCTGGGACAGTGGGAGCCGAAAGGGGCAAAGGGTCTTCTGCTACGTTTACCCTGAAAACGACCCTAATTTCCGGCGGGTCTCGGTGAACACCCATAACTCTGGGAGACACACACTGCGGATCTGTGTCTTGGTCAGCTGTTGGCTGAATTTGAACTGCGCTGCTAATGGTCACGTAAGTTTGAGGAGAGTATAAGGGTATACAGCGAATCATTTTATTAGCTTACTTAAGTCATTTGGTGACAGTTTTGTATTTTGAAAAGGATTGCGGAAGTCTCCAGCGCTGCCTCTTATTCCGGTCCCTTTGCTCAGTTTAACCTGACGCGCAACATTAACAGTGTACCTCGGAATTACTAAACATGAGAACAGGTTGCTGATCCTGACGCCACATAAAGTTCGTCACTGCAAAACGTGTCTGTGTGTCTCTTTCTTTTCTGCGCCAAACCCTTTGCCTTTTGCTTCCTGTTGGGTAATATGTGACTGAGGTGACAAACACTATGCCTTGTTTTCTAGACCCTCTTATTTTAAGCCACAGGGCTCCCCAACTCACGTTTAGCTGGCGGCAGTCAGCAGTTAGAGGATAGCCAATTTGGTTGAGAATCACTGCCAATACCGCCGAGCATCTTCATTAATATTTACCAGTACCCGTCTCATTCAAAGAAGCCTCTGACTGCTGAGCTGCTGAGCGCTTATGCCCCTTACCACATACCTTTTTGGCGGGATTAACCGAGGGGAAAATAGGACTGAACTACAATGGTTAGGATAGGGGGAGATGTTGCGCAATGAGTAATCTCTGAGCTCCCCAGTCTGCAGGCAACTGTGACCTCACATACACAGTAGTGAAAAAAACAAATGGGCTCCAGAGATTAAATTTTTCATTGAGAAATCTACATATGTATCAGACATTCTAGCAATCAAATAAGAATACAGTAGAAATGAGGTGTTTCTGTAATTGGCTACATATGGGTAGATGATGAGAAAGGCCAATACTCACAAAAATTATTTCTGCCACGATCATTGTGGCTCTTTTGCAGTACTTAAATCACCCTGAATATTGTCCTTTCAGAAGAATATAATGACCTTGGGGCCTTGGTATTTGGGAGCCATCTGTAATTCCCTATTCTGTCCCACGGGTGGGAGGAATTCATTATTTTTATATTTTGAGGGGGTAGGTTGCAGGTTATTTTTCATTCCCTAAACATCTTCTGGTCCTCCTAGGGAGAGAAGAACACATTTGTTTCATTCGCATGATTTCTTCCTTAATAGCTTTTATCTTCTACAGCACCAAGTTCAACACAAGCCCTGAAATTCGGAAGGTGGGTAATGTTTGTTATTGCAATGTCAAGGTAAGATTTGGGGTGGTTAAACCAACACTGCCAGTGTTTTTCCAGCTGTATAAAAATGCAGAGAGGGCTATTAACCCTTCCCTGTGCTCTCTTGAGAATCTTTATCCGTCTAGCATTGACACAGATGACAGTGATGACTTTTTCAGACAGTGACATGCCAAGCTTTGGTGCAGTATGAATGTGTGGAAAGAAAGGTGAGAACAAGCATTTTTGTTAACCTCCTGGATGCCAGGCACAGGTCCAAAGCATTACTTATATGCATTACTTCATATAGTCTCCATAGCAAGCTTATAAATAGGAAAGTTATTATCTCCTATTTTATTGGAACCATTGAATTCCCCTTCTGTTTCTCAAGATATTCTTGTAGATTAAAGGAAAGGAATACAAAATATTTATGCTAGCAAGCTGCCCAGGAAAAACACATCTATTTCTTTAGTAATAAAAATAAAATCTAGGGGCTGGGGATTTAGCTCAGCGGCAAAGCGCCTGCCTGGCAAGTGCAAGGTCGTGAGTTCGGTTCCTGGTACCGGAGAAAAACCAAAAAAAAAAAAAATAAAAAAAAATAAAATCTAAAAAGTGTGGGCTAGGGAATAGATCAGTGGTAGAGTACTTGCCTATGGTACACAAAGCCCTGGGTTCAATCCCTAGCACTGCAAAATAAATAAATAAATAATAAAAAGCCTAACATTTCCAATAAAACGTTGGGCTAGCCCCTTAAGAATTTAAGCAATTTAGGAACCTTGCTCATTGTGGTTCACAAATAATAGATTTCTCTTCTTCAAAATAAATTCTAAAATTCTGTTCGGTTTTCAAGGTTATCACTACCATTTGGAATTTAATTATTTCATTTACCTGCTAAATACCTAAACCTAAATAATAAGCAGATTCCCAAATCATCCCTTAATTTAATAATCCTATAATTCTACTGCTCTGTTTACTTCTTTCAAGTAACAGGCATCCCTGTCTAACTAAAGGAAACACAGACATTAAAATTTGGGGTAAAGATTATTAGTAACCAACCTTAAGTGCCTTAAGCTACTCTTATTAAATTGCTCAAGGCTTGAGACTGAAGAAGGCTATAATATACTGACCCCTGATGTAAAATAGTTAAGTCCCAAGTCCAAATGGATTCTGACTCTCCAGGCTATTAGGCCAGTATCATTATAGAATCTTTTACTGCCTCACTTATATAGAAGTGAAGTAAATGAGGATGTATAGTACATATATTGAGATTATTTTAGTACAGCATCTGAGAAACTAATGCTGTCTACTGGAAGAATTTTTAACTGGCTGGGAAGCCATAAGCAAACTAGGAAACTTGACCATAAATTGGGGTTAATAAGATACTGTAATATAATATGTAGTAATATATTAATCTTACCTAATTGTTGTGAAACAAATGAGTATAAGGGACTTTGAAAATTTTACATTGCTGCACAAAGCAGTATTTTATATTACTGTTTGTCACCTTTCCAGAATGCCTAGTAATTTTGTCTACATATTGTACTATTTAACCTCAGAAAGAAATCACCAGTCAGTAGCCTAATGAGCATTCCTTTAATGTTTCCATCTCTGCTGTTCATCAGAACATTTTAAGACTGCACATACTGTGAACACTGCTACAAAAAAAAACCTACTAATGTCCATTTCAGACAAATAACTTTGAAACCAACCATGAGGTTAAATTGCATTATCACTTAACCAGTCATTAGCAGATTTAATTTTAAAGTGCACCTTACCAAGCACTTCTGCAAACACTTCTGACATTTTAATGCCCAAGTGACATAGTAAAGCAGGATTTCAAATAAAATATACACAAGCTGGAATCTTAATTTTGTTTTTGTCTTCCTCTACCCAGCATCTCTACTTTATCCTTCTGTTGATTGCTTCTTGCAGCTGTGGCTAACACTATGCCATCCACACTCTCCTAAGATAAATGTCTGCTATTGCATTACATGTGTAGGTGGCAGTTGACGCTATTTACCTCAGTATTTAGAGTGAATCTGATTCATAGATTAAATGGTCTAAATTGTGAAGTACTAGAAACACCTCTTGGTCCCCCCAAACTAGTAGCCTTCATGGTTTTCTGTGACACTTGAAATTCTACATTTGGAAATTTCCTTCTTTAATTTTAGTCATTTTCTCCATTGTATACAAGTACTTACCCACCAAAAGAGATCAGATGTTGTTATTGCCCATTAACAATAAAGCATCAATGTATGGATAATTACAAGAAAGCCTTTAGAAGTGCTTTGACCAATGCAACAGCTATCAGTCCCATGTGGGTGTTTATTTTTATTCAAGCCAATTACAAATTTAGTTCCTCATTTTAGCTCCTGGCTACGTAAGTAAGGACAGTGAAGACATAGGCCAGCTTCATCATTGCAGAAAGTCTCACTGGACAACACTAAGAGAAAGTAGGGACCAATGGTTTCCTCACTGGACATTTCCTCCACCTCCTCACCTGCACAAAAACCTGATATTCTCCAGAGAAGCTTTCCGACCTCCTGAGAGACCCTTTAATTGGAGAGACTTTTTTCCCCTCTGTTCCTCTCCACTTCACAAATTGTTTACTCCTCCCCATATATGAAAAGGTCTAAAGCTTAATTGAAGCTCTACTTCCTTTTTTCTTAAACTGCCAAGACACTGCAACATGACTTCTTTACTTTTTATTGCAAATAATCCTCTACTGAAATTTGCACCAGTCCAAATTTTCTTGTCTCAGTTGTCTACACCTTCATTAAAATCTTTGACATCAACCTATTACTGTTCATTTTTTTTTATTTTCCCATTGTCTGGTGACCTAAGTATTTTTGAAAGATTGTTGTATAGCAGTGTTGCCTTAAAACTCCCTCACCTCTTATTTTCCATTGTCCTCAGGTTCAGGCCCTTGGCTATACCAGATGTGCATCAATTTCTAAAAAGTACCTTGAGAAGTACTACTCTCAGATTATGACTTCCAGCATCTTCGTCTCCTCCCTCTCCCTTCCGTTATACCTGCTCTTTGACCTCAAGATACCTGCAGACCTTCTCTTGGCTTCACTGCCTGCTCTTCCTAGTGTGACCCCTATATCAGTCATATCAACATGTTTTAGCATCACCCGGAATGCACAACCCCTCAATCCTCCTCTGCTGTCCCCACCTTATCCCTCCCCTATTTAAGCTTAATGAACCCTA